TAAAGACTTCTTTCCAAGTTCCCTAAAAAGTTCTTTGGTGGAGTGTGACATTGTACGAAGCAAATATCTTCTACCAGTCTAGATTGTGACATGTTCACCCTAATTTACCCTGACAAGGATTAAACAATCACAAGATATTTATATTAATAGTTTTTTTTTATTAATAGTGCTCGTGCAGGCTGGATACCAACATTTGGTGACCTAACATATAATTTAGCTGTGCAGTATGGCTGGGTTTATGGCTTGTCTCTTACAGAAATGGAAATTGTACATGGCGCATTTCGCAAGTGCAACCCTAATGGTGAGTAGTTGATTTAAAAACTACTTGTACAATTTATTTTTGGGGATTCCAATAACCTTTTCATTTCTAAAAGTGATAGTGTAATTTCTTTTCACTGTTCTAAAACATATTCATACAATGAATGTATGGCAATTGGTGAAATGAGGCTTGTGGGTGCAAATTCTTATTCAAGGTACCATGATCTCATTTATTGGTCACTGACATGAGTAAAATCTAGTTTCTCTTTAAAAACCATGTCTTTTCTTCCAATAGGAGCACAAAAATGAGAGTACCATTTATTTCTACTTTCCCAGGGTTGTTAAAATAAGCTGGCAACTGGTGCATTTCATAATGCATCTCTGAAAAATCAAAGTCCCTGTACTCAAAATCTTTGTGACAACTCTGTTTCCGTTTCTTTTTCTTCTCCTAAATGGGGATGAGAGGTGATAAGATGGTGGGTAGAGAGAAGCCTGGTGATGAACAAGTAACCTTGCAATCACTTTACCTGTGTATTTGGTGTCTTCTTTTTCTTTGGTGTGAAGGGCAAGAAGTACACCAAAGTCTGTCACCTCCCCACACCTTTTTGCTCTTTGCCCTTCACCTTCCACTGACCCCCCCCCCCCCTTAATAGTCTTTGTACTCACCCTTATATTTGACCTGTGGCCTATTGTTTGTTTATCGGCATCCAACCAGCCCCATACAGGTGTTTCACATTAGTTACTCACAATTAACATGTGCTCTTGAATCATGATAAAACGGTAAATTCTGTACTGGAGCTAAGTGGCTCATATGCATATCCTGGTTTCCATAGGATGAGGGGAGTAGATATTACTGCTCCCACTCTCAGGGATACCTGTCCATTGCAAAGTTATTTTCCCCCTAGACTCCAAGTCCACACACAAAAATCAATGAGCCACTTTGTTTATCTGGTGAATCATGACTGATTATCAACCCTGATTCCATTTCAGCTCTATTCCTGATCAGAGATGATGAGTTCACAGAAACCCTACCTAATGAAATCAAAGATGCCTTTGTAGATGACAATACCCTGTGCACGGAAAAAATGAAGAAACTTAAAGAAATGCTAAAGGAACATTTCCCTGTAAGTTTGCTCTTAAACAAGGGGAGAAATACATGTAACTTGAATCTTTCTTCAAGAGTAGAGGGCAACTTGAAAAGTGATTTGAACAATTTTGAGAGGCTAGAGTGTTTTGATCATTTCTAGTATCATGAAAAATTACCCTTTATGGCCCCAAGCCCATTTTTTCAAATATAAAGTGTAAAATTCAACTGTAAAATAGTCGGCAGTAAAAAAAATTGGGTTCCCCCCTCCAACCGAAAAAATCCCTAATATCAATGGGAGGTCATTTCACGTGCAGTACATGAATTCTAGTGAGCTGAACGATACTCCTGTAACACTTTCGTTTACCACATTGGTGCGATCACTTATTTGCCGATAAAAAGATTGTAAAATACGATCAAGAGACAGAGAATGAAGAGACTCATATGTCTGCTGGATGAAACGATTTACGAAAAAGTTGTTGTGACTGGGTAACAAAATTGGTGCTGTGTGTGTTGTGTTTAAGGCTGAGAACATTGTTCACTACAAAGTTGATTGTGACGCTAGCAGCGTAAAAAAGAGTGCACAGCTACAGGATGAGAGGGAAGTGAAGCTGAATGGAATAAACGGCTCAGAATCAGTCTTTTACAAAACAGTGAGTTTTATTTTATTACTCTTGGTTTTGGAGTTTCTTTAACTTTGTCTGTTGTGCTTGTAACGTGCATTCAGATGTTAATGTCGATCTCCTGTTCTTCTTTAGGTTTTTGATTTCTTCAAAAGTCGTATTGAACACCAGTATCCTCTCGATCCAACCCCAGAAGATCCGCTTGAAGCTCAAAAGACAGCACATGAGGTTTGACTTTGGTTTTCCTGTACGCCCTCATATAAATAACTTGGGGCTGCAATAAAACACTCAGAATAACAGATGGTTTGCAGACTGAAGAAAAACTCCCCTTCCTGGATATGTAGGCTGTGTTTTCAGAACCTCACAATTTTTTATGCATCAGTTAAACACTTAAAGACAGGCTGTTATTTGAAGGATTGTGTTGCTATCTTAAATCTCCTTTGTTCCCTATTTCTTGTTGTAGTCATTTTTGGACACTCGAGGACAAGTGGTTCTTGGAAGAGACAAGATTCTTGACGAGGTAGGTACAAAGGAGTTTTATGAATTAATTTAAGTATAATATGGAGAGGGAATCCTTCAAAACTTTCCACGTTTTATCTCGTACGTCCTGTTTACTGAGTGAGTGCCTGAATAGTGCTATGATAAGGCTTTCTCTTACGCTGTGCGAATGTTTTGTTTTTCTAGATAGCGAACTACATTGTGAACGACACTTCCAATGCACCGTTGCTGCTTATTGGTAATGCAGGCTCAGGAAAGTCAGCCATTATGGCCAAGAGTGCCAGTGATGCTTTAGCTAAGGCTGAAAGAGGAGAACTGCCTGGGGCCAAGTAAGAAATGAAACTAAACTTATGGAAGAAATGATTAAAATCCATGCCATTGAGGTTGATATTGCTTACATTTTAGGGTTCAATTTACACCTCTTAACGTACAGATGCTACTTATCCTCATTCATTTTTACAAATTCAATGAATTGAATCATAATTCGCCGAGTGAACGATATATGAAGATAAAGATCATCCTCTCAGGCGAACTGAAAAATTCAGGTTTCTACGGGATTCGAACCTCTGCCTCCCTGATACTTCTAGGACGCCACGAGCGACTGAGCTACAAAACTGCATGCTTAGAGCAAGGCAAATTTTAGTGAATTCGTCGTTCCCGTATGACCATAAAGAAAAGACAGAAATCATATTTTGTCTAGCGGACGATATACAGTACCTTTTTTAGGAATATCTGTAACCTTTTACGCTCTAACACCTGTATGCATATTCATTATACTATTCTCTATACATAGAATTGGTTGAGCAATCAAGCGTCTTTTTAGTTGATGGTCATTTCATTTATTCTCTTGACCTTAATTGTGTAATTCAGGGGTGATATTGTAAGGAAAAATTAGAAGCTTATCACTCTTGGGATTCAAAGGGTCCAGTTCAGCTTATCTTCAACGATCGTTTATACTTGAATAGATTGCCACTACTTTGACAATTACTCTAGGCCTGAATGTCTTGAAGATAGAAGTATTTGTTCATTTTATTTTTCAGGGGATCGCCGTGCAAAGTGTTCTTTCATTTTGTTGGAGCCACACCTGGTTCCACTGATCTGGCTTTCTTCTTGCAGAGGTTGTCAAGGGAGATTAATGTTTCCAAGGTGACAAACGTGTCTTTTGCATTACATCTCTTACATAAGTGATGTATTTTTTGGTTAGGGGATTCTGTAGTGCGCTCGTCTGAATCCTAGCTAGGTCAGTCTCGAACGGGAGTCACAAAGGGAAACTACGATAAAATGCGGCTGGTATTTTTCAATTCCACTGAAGTTTTGCTTGGGGTTGAAAAAAAAATTAAAATTGGCATTACCATTTCTTTTCTTTTTGCAATCGCTTTTATCAAAAAAACTAATCTCGGCGACGTCCGCCATTATTTTACTCACTTCACTCTTAACATCAAATCGAGATTAGCACTCATGCGGACGTCTTGGAAAACAGACCTCCGCTCGAGAGATAATCTAAGAACAATTGGATAATTTGGTGTTGTCAACTGAGAATGGAATTCCATTCGCTCTGACTAAAGGAAACGTCAGCTTTGAAACTCTCTACGGTGGCCAATTTACGTTATCAACTCAGTTGATAAACCAAATTATCTTGTTACACTCCTCAGCCGACCACTGACATTTTCTTTAGAAGCTTACCGTTCTAAGAATAGTGTAGGTGGAACTGACATATTTTCTCGAAGTTTTGTATCAAAAGCCCTTTAAAACAAATAAACTGCTGGGGATTACCACGTTGGAGT